TACTTTTCTTTACAGCAGTTATTTTTAGAATATTTATGCTTACCATTGTGTATTCGTGGAGGTTAAATGACAACATGAAGGAAGTGGTCTTGCGAGCCCTAAAGTAGTTACTTTCATTTGACACTATTATTTAAAATACCTCTCTTCATCCTTATGTAGTGACAATGTACTGTTTGTAAGAAATTACTGTCCTCTTCAATTCGTCATCTTACTAGATTTCCTTGAATCCTAACTTATAATCCCCTCCCTTTCCAAATAAAAAGTAGGAGTTGTTGTCTGTCTCTCATATTAGAAACTCAGCTAAGGTTTTCATTTCCTGTTTCTGTATCTACATCCCTTTTCATACACAAGCATACACATTTATATCTATACTAATTTTTAAAATTAATGTAGCTCTTGAAGTACTTGAACCTCCATTTTTCTTATTATTTTTAACTTCTTCCCACAAAAGGATCTTAAGGAAGCTAAAATATATTAACTTTGTATTCTAGTTTGCTTTCTATTACTGTGATAAACACCATAACTGACAGGCACTTGAAGGAGGAAAGGTTCATTTGACTTACACGTTAAGGTCATAGTTCAGCATTAAAGGAAGGAATTTAAGCAAGAGCCTGGAAGCAGGAACTGAAGAAGAGACCATGGGGGAATGTTACTTACTGGCTTTCTTCTAGGCTCACATTCAACAGCTTTTCTTATACAGCCCAGACCCATCGTTTAGCGATAGCACTGGCCACGGTGGACTGGACCCTCCTACATCATTAGGAACCATGAAAATGCCCCAGAGACATGGTCACAGGCCAGTCTGATGGAGGTAGTTCCTCAATTGAGGCTCCCTTTCCCAGATGTGATTGTTAAAGTGGCAACCAAGATTATTCATTATGCCCAGTGATATATATGATAATTAGGAATAAGATGGAGAAAAAAGAAACTATAAATAAACTGAGATGGTAAATTCAAGGTAATGCTTTTAGTCAAATATGTATCATGATAACCTGTACACTTTGTTTAAAGTGGGCTGCAGTAATAGCTAGATATTTCAAAACATGGATTTAAATAATATAGACCTTGTGGAGCTCTTAACAAGCCATGTAACAAATTAAGAGAGGCATGACTATCCTTGGACCTGAGAACAAACAGTGGCGTGTGTCAAGCACCTACTTCGTGTCTATGGTGGGAACATAGGTAGTTATTGGCTAAAGGAAACTTCTTGACATCAGAATTATATCTAATACTTCAGGGTCCAAAGCATGCTGAGTGTTGCTCTATTTCTTAGTCTCTGTTCTCCCACTCACCACATTTACATTTTTCTCTGCTTTCTTCACAATTTTCTGTCTTTAGTCATTCTTCAAAAATCTCAGAAAATAAGCTTTTGGAAGACAAATTGGAGGCCATCAATGGAGAACTAAGATCATTCCTTTACTACTGTCACCATCACGAATGAACTTCTCCAAATGGTGCCTTCTTCTTTGTCCTCCTCCTTGCTGGGGCAGAAATGCTGTTTTTCCTGGTTAAAATAAAATTTCCCCTGTGATCTGTAAGCCACTTGCTGTCTTAGGAAAACTTGGACACAGTATCCCTCCTCTCTTGCTTTCTCAACCTCTCATTTATTAGGACCTCTTAATTTGTAAAAGAGGTCCCTTTAACAGGGTTAGTGAAGTAGGTGGGGGAAAGAGGATAAAAGGTATGTGGTTATAATAAAAATATACTATATTCATGCATGCAAATGTCATAATGAAGTTATATATAACTAATATGTGCTGTTAAATCATTAAAAGAGAAAAGAAGACAGGAATACTTTTTGTCCTTGAACTCACACATTTTTCAACTTTACAGCCAGACGTCCCAAAGTCTTGCTGCTTCTTCTATCTCAGTTCAGAGGAACCCTTCAAATCGTGTTATTCTGATCCACCTTGGTGACTTGGTGGCACTAAATCTTATGAGAACATTTCATATATGGGATTCCAGTGTGTAATGCACACATGCTTACAGTTCTCTCTCAGTCAACAAACAAGGCAGCGTTAGCCTCTGTGTTCAGGACTGACCCCGCCCCTCCACGCCTCTTCCTGCTGCTCTCCTCTGCTCGTAACGCCCTCCGCTGATCCCATGAATCACCTCTGCTCCTTTCTACCACAGGTGCTTGACACACACTCTTCCCATGGTCTGAAAATAAGTCCCACCACTTATCCTCCTCCCTCTCTCTATTTGATAATTTCAGTTATTCAAATGCAGATCAAATGTTTTTCTGAGGAACCTTTCCTAAACTTGATCATTTTCCTTGGAAGGTCAAGAAACATTGTTTAATTTCTCCATCATTTACTGCTCAGAAGTGACAGGTGCCCTCTGCCTGGTTTAGTGATGGCATCTGAAGTTTGATCCTAACTGTGCAATGGTTTTCACAAAAGACATTTAGCAAGTTCCTGACAGCGTATGTGTGACTGGTATGTTTAAATGTGTTTGGAAGGCGCTTCAAATGAGAACACTTATTCTGTGAGGACTCGGGGCTTCTCAGGCCGACTAAGCACAGCTCTGCTGATCATTAAGCTCATGGCAGTTCCAGGAAGCAGATGTGAGTGGGGTGAGAGGTCCTGATCTAAGGTGATGCATCTCACAGCTGCAACAGAAAGTCCTTCCTTAGTGATGTGTGGTTGCCACTGGTCATTATCTTTATGAGTCCCACTATTGGGTTAGTCAGTGACTTGATTCTTCACCCCAGCTCACCTTGCTCTGACCCTTTATTTTGTCAATCTCTCACATTGTAAAGACACCTTGATCTGGTTTACTTACCGGGTAATTCTTACAAGCATAAAAATGCTTCGTAATGAATGCTAAACTTAAAGAAGAGAAGGGCTAGAATAATAATGTCTACTTTTGACATAATGAATCAAGACAAATCAGCAATAAGTAGAGAGGACACTGGTGGAACTTAGGCATACTTCCAGCGCCATGTTCTTCTCTGTAACATCTAACTCCATATTGTTTTTTCTTCACCTCAGTTCTTATGTTTGTTTACACTAACTGCCATTTCACCTCAGTGTAGTGCTGGCTACAAAGAATATTCTTGAGGATATAGACCAATAATGGAAAGTCTTCAAGCATATCATTGGGTAAGAGGAGAGGTGGAAACTGTGGTGGTTTGATGAGAATGGCCAGCAGAAACTCATGTGTTTGACTGCTTGGTCCCTAGTTGGTGGAACTATTCTGGGAAGAATTCAGAGGTGTGGCTCAATTGGAGGAGGTATGAAATCAGGAATGGCCTTTGAGTTTTCAAAAGCCCACACCATGCCCATTTAGCTCTCTCTGCCTCCTACTTTCGGATGAGATGTAAGGTCTTAGTTCCAGCTCTGGTACTATGCCTGCCTATCTGCCACTATGCTCCCTGCCCTGATGATCTTAGACTAACCCTGTAGAACTGTAAGTGAGCCCTCAAATAAATGCTTTCTCTTATAAGTTGCCTTGGTCATGGCTTCTATTCACAGCAGTAAAAGTAACTAAAACAGGAGCAAAATAATTCCAGTTACTCCAGTACTCAGTGCTTCATGCCCAACCTTCACAGCATTGAAATTAAGCCTGGTTCTAGAGTTCACTTTCTTCATGTCTCCCTTGATGAATGTTATACACTTGAAGCCAAGTCACATGACAAAAGAATTGTGAGAGCCATTGTAAATGAATTTGTTTTCGTCCTTAGCCTTGATTAAAAGATATTGCAAGGACAGTTAAAACTTGAGGTAGGAATTAAACTTGGGATACTGAATTATTTATTAACATTTAATGGACCTTGGAGGCCTATAGAGGAATCTCCTCTCTCTCTCTCTCTCTCTCTCTCTCCTTCCCCCCCCGTCAATTGAAGCTTTTTTAAAAAGAAAGATTTATTTATTATTTTTACGTGTATGAGTATTTTGCACATATGTATGTATATGTACCACATTCCTGCCTCTAGAGGTCAGAAGAGGGAGTCAGGGTTAGATCCTCTTGAACTGAAGTAATGAACTGTTGTGAGCTGCCATGTGGGTGATTGACATCAAGCCTGGGTCCTCTGCAAGAGCAGTAAGTGCTCTCAGTAACTAACTGCCCAGCTATTGCTCTGGTGCCTAGAGAGGGAACTTCAAGTTCTACTTTTTTATGATTTTCACTTTTGATGTTTTTATGATTTTTACTAATTTATCATGAAACAAAAACAGTTGGTATCTATAATGCTCACTGCTAGTTGCCTTTCCCAATATCTAAGCTGTCCAAATACACTAAGCACTACATTTTTTCCTATTCTCTTGTGGACAGTCTGTCTGTGTGACTGTGTACTAGCCAATGAAACATAATGGAAGATGTCAGCATCCATAGGTAATCTAAAAAACTGTCTCTCTGCACTTCTTTTTAAAAAAACTTCTAAGCATGTTTTATTAAACAAAGACTGTAAACAAATTATGTCTGTTACATGTAACAAACGGGAACAGCTTTTAACAGAAATTCAAAACCCCAAACATTTTTTTATTATAAATACAGGTATCAAAACAATCCTGAACCTATTTTAGATACTAGTAGTAGTCAGTACCCACACTGCTTCAAGAATTAACACAATTGGTGACTAGTCATTCTATCTGCTACTTTAAACAATTCCAATTGCAGCTCTAAATATGATGGACAAAACATGCCATTTCTGTTCTTCCATCTTGAGACTTTAGTTTTCAGAAAAACAAAGGTTTCCATGGCCATCTGACAGTTTTTTAACATGCTCCTGTCTTGAAAACCTGAATTCCACTTTGAGTACTTCAGGTTCATGTCTAAACGACAGTGCTTTAAGAGGACAAAAAAGAAGTTGTGCCGCACTTCTCTTGTTACCTGAAAACATAATAGGTGTACATATATTAAATATACTCTTACAACTGTCCAGGTCATGTTTACCAGCTGCAATTCTTTTACTTAATGGTGGGTATTTTGCATGGTGATATTTAATCAAGACAATAACATGGGTTGTTGAATTAAGACAAGTTTGAGATACACTAAAATTAGTTGTTGTACGTATGTCCTTCTGGTGGCTGTGGAAGCTTCATATTTTCTTTGGACATCATAAGACATCTTAGCTCTTGAAGTACAACTTTAATGTTATAGGAATTTTGCCATTTTGCTAATACTGGTATGCTCTGTGCACCGACCATTCCACTGGAATTATTGATTCCATTAATAAATAATTAATTATTGATTCCATTAATTAATTAATTTCATATTAATTTTTGTTACAAATCTAACTGATGAAGGAGCTTCTGGGTATTTAGATCCACATTCTACTTTCAGGCTATATATTCTGTTTTCATAGTTTGTCCTTGGTGGCCCAATAATCATGCCTGTCCACCTTGTAAGTGTCATGCCTTCATCATCTTCAAGGCCCCAGCTAACCGTACCATCACCTACTCCTTTTTGTCCTTCTTCAAGTTCTTCCAACAAATGAAAATTACGAGGAACTTTAACTCCTTGAAATATAACAATTACAACATCCACTCAACCTCTTCCATTTCTACAACCTAGATTCAGTAATAACTGTGGAGACCGCCATCTTCTCCTGCTCCCAGACCCACCCCTCTCCACACTTTTAAACCTCTCTCCTCTTTGCTTATGAGTATATGGCCAAAGCATGATAGGACGACCTGAGATGTGAAGTGGCCTCCTAAGGTTTGTGATACACTAGAGCTGAAGTCTAAGCTTTTAGATAATAGTTTTGGGGTCTATGTCATAAGTAGCTAAACCCAGTTCTAGATGATATCCTACATTCCAGTACAGAAAACATCCTAAAACTTGAAGTTCTCCCATTTTCCCCCTAGGAGAAATAATTTAGTCTGAGGTCTATTTAAAAACTACAATAGATAATTGTGCAACCCTGAAAGAAAAAGTTAACACAAATGTGAATAACAGAATGACATTGTTTTTGTTGTCATTGTTGTTATTTTATTCCTCTTCCTTCTTCTCTTCTTCTTTCTTCTTTTTGTATAAATCCAGAGGATCAAGAAAGAAATGAAAGAAATTCTGGGCATATTAGTCACTTTAAGTTTTTGTGACAAATATTTTTTAAGAACAGTTTTTTTGAGGAAAGATTTGTTTAGGCTCAATTTTCAAGGTTTTCAGACATGATCAGCTGTGGCACGGCAGAAACATCATGGTTAAAGATCTAGTAGGGAAAAGTACTAATTTAAAGTCAACCAGGAAGGAGAGAGGAAGGGGTAGAGGAGAGAGATGTGGAAAGATAGCTTCCAAAAGCAGTTTATACTACCTGATAATAAGCTACTCTATTATGAATGTGTCAAAAGATTATTCCATAGATCAGGTCAGAGTCCAAATGATCTATCTATCTATCTATCTATCTATCTATCTATCTATCTATCTATCTATCATCTATCTATCTATCTATCTATCTATCTATCTATCTATCTGCTTTATAAAAGCTCCTGCTTGGAACATTAGATCATTAGATTCAGGACCAACTCTTTGATTATTAAAGCCCTCATTGACAGCTCTTACCCAAATTGGAGTACTGTGGTATTGGTTGACACTTGAAACCTGGGAGAGAAATTTAGGATCATCATTTCAGGTAGTTCTAGAGACCTGATTGTCAGGAAAGCAATGGCTTTGAGCATGTCAGAGAAGATGATATGAGTACTCATGTAGGTCAGACACTGGATACTGTTACCTTGGGAATGCCAATAAAAGTCTGTGTTATTAACAATGGGACGGAGAGAGGAAAAACTGGTGGAGGCATTAAATGACTATTAAAATTAGTTATTATTAGTCATTAACTGACTACTCACTGATTAAAACCTTGGTCTCGTTTTTCTTAGCCTCACAGCTTTGCGTTTCCTTTTGAAAGAATGGAAGGTTTAGGAATCAAAAAAGGTGGCTTTTATTAGATTTCTTCAAAAATGTTTTTATTTGGGGTCACTCCACTAGGATTGATTATGTTTGGAATATGAAGAAATGTTTCTCAAGGAGTAACTCACATTATTAGTGAAGAATGGAATGTTTGTTTTCCTTTTTACTTAACAAGTAAAGCCTGTGAAGGCTTTATCAACTTAAGATGTGCAATTGTAACCTAAGTGTCAAAATATTTAGAATGAAATTTTACGACCAGAGGTTAATTGTAGGAATAATGGTATTGTGCCCTATGTAAGGATTAGCCTTGAATTATTCAAATGTTGATTTTTGTGCCACCATATCTGACTGTAATCCTTATTCTAAGAATCTACTGTCTCAGTGTTGTATTAACATTGCCCCTCAATTATTCCATGATTGGTCAATAAAGTTAGCTGATCAGTCAATGACTGACCAGGGGAGAGAATAGGGCTAGATTTCCTCCCAGCCAAGGAAGAAGAAGAAGAGAGAGAAGAGGTAGGATTAGCCATAAGGAGGAGAGACCATGAGAAAATACCCAGAGAGCCAGATCAGTACTAAAATGCAAGGATCACTGGAATTTTGGCAGGAAGGTAGCCAGATTAGTTTAGAGAATTAAAATGTAGTAATACTGTTCAGTTGTGTCCTTAAAGCTTGCTAAATAAAATTAATAGTTCAGTCTCAATTATTTGGGAGCTAGTTGAGTAAGAGGAAAACTGTAACACACTTATTAAAAAGCTACCAATAGTTAATTACTTAATAAATGCAATGAATACTTACTAAACTTGGAGTAGGTATCAGGTATTGTTACAAGTCAATAGAAATAGTCAGAGACCAAATATACAAGTGTACTGTCTTTAGAGCTCACCTTCTATTACTGGAAAGATAAGAAGCACAAGACATTACTGCATATAGCATGCCGGGGGAGTGGATAGACACCCTCTGACTGCACAAGGGCTGGCAAGAAGTAAGCATTTCTTGGAGAAATGAGATATTGCACTGTTAAAGAACAGCCTTGTATGAACTTATATAGAGAATTCCCCAAACTGGCCCTAAACAGTACACTCAGATTTTACTGAAAACCCTGCCCAAAGCAGCAGATTTGGGGCACAGACATTTGGTCTCAAACATTTTGCAGCTTGTAAATAGAGCAGTAGCACTGACAGAGGTAAAGCCGTGGGATGCTGCAGATGAATGACCTGGTCTCCTGATGCTAAGGGATGTGGTAAATGTTGGCTGTTAGCGATGGTGTCCAAGGGGAGCCATGCATTTACACTGGAATTTCGAATCTTTCCTGTTATGGCAAACTTCCTGAAATGTGGGAGAACAATTTTATCTACTAGGATAAGAGTGATGATAATGTTTATTAACATCAAATGTCCCCAGTAGAATGAGAACTGTCTGCAGATCCTGTTGAGATGGATCAGTTATGTTCATAGCATTGATCTCAGAGGGTGGGGTTATGGTAGAGACCTAAAGGAGTAGATAATTGGATGTTATAAGACAAAGTAGAGATAGTTTTGGAACATTTTATTTGTAAAAACTTTTCTCCTGGCTGCCTAAAGTTACGAGACCTTGGCCATCTGGAACTTGTTATAGATATGCTTTGGTCTTTTCTTTGTGAAGATTCAGAGATTTGGCTGAGTCTGGAAACATGAGAATAATAGATCATGAAGTGCTACACATCAAGTCAGACATACTCTCAAAGGCTTGCTGAGAGGCAGCTTCGTTCCTCTTTGCCATTCTATGTATATAAGAAGCAGAAAATTTGATATTTAAGAGAATTGACTGAAGGAAGTTTCTAGGAAGAAAGAGTGGTTTGGTGTTTTTTTTTTTCTTTTCCTCCAGATGACAAATGTAATTTTACCCCAGGGTAAGTAGAAGAGACACCAAGAAAGTTATTTCGAGATCCCAGGAATGTTTCCCTAATAAGGAATTGGTGGAAGACAAGGGACTGGAGCTATGCGGGAGTTTTAGGAGACTTTGAAGCCCATCCTTTGTGTCTTTGAATTGGAGCAGAGAGAGAATAAGTCAACCTGAAGAAAGTGCAGGGCACTAGCTTCAGAGTGGAAGGTGTGTGATGTAGAAGCAGAAGAAGGATATTGTGAGTCAGGAGAACACAGTGGAGGAAAGGGATGGATAAAAACAAAGCATGTAGTAGAGGTCATAATGGTCACCACATCTTTGTATGATAATTTATAAAAATTAAAGTCTTGAAAGAAGGTGTGGTATACATAGCTGAGAGGCTACAGAAGATCAGGGTTCTCACTGTGTTATGAAGCCTGCTGTGAAAAAGGATACCAGGGGAAAGTCAGGTTTGAGTTCTTCGGATGGGACACTGCTTAAGACCACCTGCATCTGTGGAAAAGCATCCCATGAGTGTGATGGTTTGTATAAGCTTAGCCCAGGAAGTGGCACTATTAGGAGGTGTAACCTTATTGGAGTAGGTGTGGCTTTGTTGGAGTAGGTGGGTCACTGAGATTAGGCTTAATGAATCTTGTCCTACGTATTTACCTTTCAATGTTATCTCCTCTCCCATTCTCCAACAACAGTCCTTTGATAAAAGAGATTATTAATATAGATTTATATTTCTTTAAATAGTGTATTCATAACTCTCTGAGTGTGGAAGGAGTGGCTGCTGGCGCTTCTGCCCTGATTTTATAAGAGCTCTGAAAAATGGGCTTTAAAAACAAAAGAGGGGGAATGTTACCCCCCCAAAAAGGAGTCCCCCAAAATACTCTCCATCATGCCTTGTTCACTTTTATCTCTTTAAAACTGAAAGCTCATGGCAAATATGCTGCTGACTGCCTTTGGCATCACCGAGACCAATAAAAACTATGCCACAGCTATGTGGAAGGACCCTCTTACACTTAAAGGGAATGGCCTAGACCCAGTTCTCTTATGGGGCCGAGGATTGATATGCCTGTTTGATACCACAGAAGGCACAGCTAAATGGCTGCCAAAAAGATTAATGAAATAAATAGATACCCCCACAAAGCCAGGTCCAACCATAAATAAGATAACAATTGACATCCAGGGAAGAGAAATCTCCCTGAGAATTCTCTTCTTTTTCCTTTCCAGGTAAAAAATGAATCACCCGTGATGTCTGCTCTTAGAAGTTCTAATCCAAATGCTGGCCTCTGAACTTATACTACTCAGACCTTCGACAGGCCATTGACAAGAACATCAAACAGCTAGAGATTGACATCACTAATCTGAAGAAATCCCTCGTTTCGCTGTCTGAAGAGACCTCCAAAAATTGCAAAGGAATTTATTGGACTTGATTTACTCTTTTACAATAGAAAAGACTGTGTAACAGCTCTTGACTGTGTACAGCCCTTAAAGAAGAATGTTGCCTTTATATAGACAAGACAAGGATGGTTAAAGAGAGCATGAAAGAGGTCAGAGAAGGCCCTGAGAAAAGTCAGAGAGAGAAAGAGAAAGATGAGAGCTGGTACAAGAATTGGTTTTCAACCTCTCCATGGTTGTCAACCCTACTTCCTTCCATCTTGGGACCATTAATTGGGTTATTTTTCCTTACTTCTTTTGGTCCCTGGGCCTTAAATAGGCTGACTAACTTTGTGAAACAACAGATAAATAATTTGGTAGCAAAACCTAT